TATCATTATTATTATTCAAGCAAAAAAAAAAAAACGGACTAGTGGAAGATAAGACAATATTTTTTTATAAAAAAGAAAAAGAAGAAGAAGACAAGACAACATTGTTCGCTAGAAATTAAGAGGATTTCCAGACTCGCGGTGTCTGAATCCAAGATCGAGTCACAGGACTCATTAATGACTCCAACCATCAATTATCTGTCCTTGAAAAAGCCTAAAAAAATGATAAAAAAAACGCCTCCCAATTTTATTTATAAATTATTTTTTTAATTTTATTATGTATCATTAAATTAAAAAAAACTTAAATTTTATGAATTTTATTGTAAAATTTAATATATTTTTATCTCTGCCATCATAAAGAAAAAAAAATTATTTTTAATAACTTATCTTAATATTTAATAAGTGCAGAAATAAAAAGATAAACATATATAATAATGAAGTGCTCTTAAAATAAAATTAATATTAATATTTTTTATTTTATAAATAAAATTAGAGGAGTATGGTACATGGAGCTATTACTTGTATATTTTTAAATTTTTTAAAGTGGAGCTTAAAGTTAAATCTCTTGTACTGGTAGGTGGTGAGTTCAATTCGAGAAGGCTGGTTTAACCTCCTTTGAATTCAAGGGGAACAAGTTCAAGCAGTAAACCTCTAGCCTCGTTCTTTGAAATTAGAACATTGATGCTATAACATAAAGTTTTATCTTACCATGTAAAGTCAATTACATGAACTATATTACATTTAAAAAAAAAAAGGACAAGTATATTCATAAAGTAATTAATTAGAGACATTCAGTATTTTAAAGTGAAAAAAATTATAAAAGTATCCATAATATTACATGAGTGAATGCAAAAGTGATCAGACCGTTAATTTTGATATAATACTATTAACTTTGACTGTTAAATGTTAACTGTGCATGTCACATATCAATTTTTACTGACGTGGACTAATAAAGGGGCAAATATACCCCCAAAGTCATTGGCTAAGAGCAGACATATTAAAATACCATAATATTATTAGAGTTGGTGCAAAAAGAATCAATCTATCAAATTTCTTAAGTATTGACTATTTAGCTAATATTTAAACAAAAGTTGATTACTTTTTTACTGTAAAACAAAAATATTTTCAAATAAATTTTTACAGATATTAATCAATCATCACATGAGTACCAATAATAAGTGACCAATTCATCAAAATCTATGTTATATGATTTTTTTTCTATTATCATGTATCTCATCCCCTCCCTCCCTCCCTTCCTCTCCACTCATTTTTTTTTTGTCTGCAAAACATGATATTCAACATAATGAAATAGGTTGTATATAATCGAAGATTGAGACTGAGCACACCTAATAATTTCATTTATGATAGGTTTACAATTTTCAAATGGTTTTCATCACTGTTATAAAGAAACAAGCAATTTAATTTAATATTAGGTTAAATGATATTTTCTTACATGATATTCATATAATGACTAATTAACATCTAGAGAATTTCAATTGAGAATATTTTTTGTCCATGTCAACAAAAAATGGTCAACTTCTGCTTAGGTATCAGTTAAATAGTCAACATTTAAGGGATTTGATAGATTTGTCATTTTTGCGCCAACTCTGATAAAGTTATGAGTATTTTTGCTCCTAACTAATGACTTCGTATTTATTTTTGCCCCTTTATTGGTCCACGTCAGTAAAGATTAACACGTGATATCCACAATCAGCATTTAATGGTCAAAGTTAAAGGCGTTAGATCAAGGTTAATGGTATAGTCACTTTCGCACCTACTCATATAACGTTATAAGTACTTTTACCTTTTTCCTCACTTTATAATATTGGGTGCCTCTGACTAATCACTTTGTGAATATTTTTGCCCCTTTAACCTTAAAAAAATTAGAAAAATCATTTCAACCTTAAAGTATACTCTTTTTTATTCAAATTATAAGGCATTTTTTCTTAGCTCATCTTAATTCAAAATACAAGACACTTAGTAGGTTTTGATTTTTTTTTTCTTATTTTACCCTTGTATTTATTAACTTGACTTGTTAGGTAACCTAAATGGTATTTATTATATTTTCTCACTTTCTATGATAGCTAAAACTTTATTAATTTATAAGGAGAATCACGCTTTCTCATGTTATTGTACTTCATTAAAAAAATTATCCCTCTTATTTAATTTATTATTAACAGGTTGGGGAAAAAGGTAGAAAGGAAAAATTATGGTATTTATAACTAAAAATAAGGATATAACTAAATTTTATTGGTTTTTAAATTATAGTTAAAAATGCCTTATATTTTTAACTGAAGGAAGTAACTCCATAAATGTTGGGAATTCTAAACTTATTTTTGATGCAATATTCTCTTTCAACTTTAAAAAATAGTGCAATTGTGTCCCTACCAATAATAAAAGTAAATTTTGACCATTAATTGATTAAAAAATTATGAAAAAAGACGCCCAAATTTATAGAAAAGAATAAAAAATTATAAAAAAGATCCAAAATTATAAATAATGACATAAAAAAATTATAGAAAAGAACCAAGAAAACTTTTCTAATCATTTTTATGATTTTTTATTCAACTCACCGTAGAAAAGCATTTGTGAATAGTGGGGGTGATATTGAATATTTTCAAAAATTAAAAAAAATATTATATTAAAAATAAATTTAAAATACCATACGTCCTTAGATATATATAATTTAAAGACAAATTTACAATTTAATCCAAAAATTATTAAAAATATCCCCTTTTTTTCCCTGTTACGTCTAGCAGTGTCCGTAGTCCATCTTCATTTGTTGCTTCGTCTCTTGTCTTCTTGCTTTCCTTGTCCCAAAAAAAAAAAAGATTGGAGAGGCATCTTCTTGGCTGAAGCTTTATTACATTTGAAAATCAAACTTACCTTCTAACTAACAATGTAAACTCAATTCTATAAAGTATAAACAATAATTAATGTCTTCACCTTGACCTGATTTGTTCGTCTCGCACAAAAAAGATGGTCCAAGATAAGGTGAGTGAGAATAGAAATGATAGAGATATGAGCGGTGATTTCTTCACCAATTTCAAATGGCAGTGATCAGAGTGTCAGGAGGAGGGGATAGGCACCCAGAGGCAGCCATAATGGAGCTCTGCCCGCGTGGAGGATTCATGTGATTTATTGCACGGACCACATGGAAGAGAAACATGCTCCCTGCCTGTGTTATTAATGACCTTTTAAAAAAGTAAAATAATTCACTTTATAAATTATTAAATTAATAATAATATTTTATTTTAAATAAAACATTTAAATTATTTTAAAAAAAATAAGAAAGAGAGAAACAGTAAAATAATATTATATAATATATTTACTTTTTAAAAGTTATGTTTTATAATTTTATTAAATTTTATTTTTTAAATTTTTATTATATTGATATTGAAAGAGAATACACATAATTGTAATTTTTACTTGTTCTAGTCCCTTATTTTTCAGGAAAAAGTAGTTAGATTTCTTTATTTATTTAAAAATATTCCAACACTCTAATTATCATAGCATTGAAATTTGAGTTAAAGAGATGGGTTAAATCCATGAAATAGTGAATTAATGTATTAACAGATTCAATAAAATAATTTGTTCATATTTAGAATGATCACAATTTAATTAACTATAGCTTTAGTTATTTTATTCTTGAATTAATTTCTTGATTAGTTTAATAATTAGTTGAAGTCTTAGGACCTTGCTAATGACTCCCTCAGGCTCCTATTATAGTTTGGCCTTCGTTAGGGGAGAGGAACCTCTCATTTTGTCTCCTCTTTTACTCTTTTTTGATAGTAAACCATCTCATGTTCAAAAGCCAACGGCTTCAACTAATCTAGAGCAAGATCCTTTCTGGTATGAGCTTTACCATTAAGTGCCGTTATATTCTCAAGACCTAAAACTTAAAACTTTTAGCTAAGTTAGTACAACTCCATTACTAGTTGAATCAAGTACTTATTGGTTTCTCTCTCCTTTTATTTTCATCATTTTGGATCAATAACAGTTCTCATTTAATATTTTATAAAATTATTATTTTTATTTTATATAAAAATATATAAATAAATTTAAATCTTACGTAAAATATAATAAGACCTCTGTCAGAAACATCTCCATTAATATTAATTGAACCATCAATATCTAATTTAATCCAACCAACCTTAACCATTTGACTTGTAAATCTACCCGACCAAGATTAAAGAACCCATCTTCAATTCAAGTTTGATGTCGTTAATTGTGTTTTGGGTGCTGGTGAAATATTTATACACACACATCCCCGTCAGAGGCGTCTTCTTCAAAATAAAGGCAATTGCAATTTGGCTTCTAAATGTTCGGATAGATATTTGGAAAGCAAGATGCAATTTCTTGCCATATGCTTAACGCTTTACATGCTATAGCATTGAGTTTGAGTTTCCTGGATCACTTTGATATTTAAATAAAAAAAGAAAAAAAAATGCCCCCAAAAAAATCATGCTGATAAACTCCATCCATGGCTAGTTGATCAATTACCAATAATTTTTTTTTTAAAATCCATTACAAGCTTTTTATTGCCACGAGATATCTCTTTCATTATTCTTCTTCATGGCTTGAAACATACAGGAACTAAAGATCAGAGTACCAAAGCATGGAAATGCAGTTAATTAAACAAAAAGCTCTTAGTTAACACCTTAGTATTGAATGACCAAAGAATCTCTCTAGTAGCCCGCAATGAGGAAACTTGATACTCCTGCTTCCATGCCATCAAACATTAGCGGTCTACTTTTCATGATTGGTGTGCAACATCTCCAAAATTCAACATACGATGTTTTTAATAATTCAAGAATAGAAGATTCCTCTCACTAAACTCAGAACACACAACACAGAACATTATGAATAGTGATTAGGTCGGACGTAAGGGACTCGATTTCCTTTAGTGAGGTTGTGAGTTCAAACTCTACGCGTTCCACCAATACCAGATATAGACACTTATATTAAATACACACACAAACTGAAGGGAGACACATGATACATACATTTAAGTTTTTCATTTTTTATATCTCAAATCATGAATCTTAGTACATCATGAAACTGACAAGAAATTAAAGACTTTTTTTTTTCACAAGGGATCTACTGCACAAGGCTTAGATCCCACAAAATCTAACTCAGAAAAATGGTCGATGAGGAAAAGGATGCTGTTGTCATAAAAATGCTACATGATTATTTAAGAACAACTGCTGCATTCCTCAAAGCTAAGTACTTCTGTACATAATCATTGGGAAGTGATCTCACCATTCTAAAAACTTCTGCATTTGCATATCGGAGCTTAGTCCTAGGATCATAGTAAGGTGCCTGCAGGATGAAGCAATTAATCATTTCTTCAGTACAAGTGCCCAAGGAGGCATATATGGCAGAACCAGACAATGAGTCATATGATTTGCACGGAATTCAAGGTGAGTTTTACTGTTCATGACTTGTAAATACTACGGCTCATTGATTATATATATTGGCCATATATGTTGATCAATGGGTCATCCAAATACATGAACACAATCAGAGTGATACAACATTCATCATGAATTTTTAGGTTTTTATTAGCTAAACATGTGAATAAACTAGATTACGTTGCGCCTGCATATTGTAACAAACTGCTCATAAGGATTCCTGCATATGCGGATTGGTTCATCTAAACAACCAGCATGAATCACTAGGACAAGAGATAAAAAAGATCTTTCAATTACTCACCATAATATTTGGGTTCTCCAGTTCACATATGAAAGAAACATTACGATAGTTCTCAAAGTTTGGGTTAAGCACATATAATTCTCCTAATTTTAGTTTAATCACAATTTTAATACACGAACAATAAAAGGCAATACCCAAGCTCCTAAAGTATCAGGAAAGCCAAAATATTACATGCTAACAAAAACTACCAATTGAAAACCCACGAGGTTATATTGTGATACCTTATGGCTCCAACATCTTTCCAATTTCCAAATGACAATCTGGCTTTCAACTGTAAGTTTTAATTTATAATAAGGGGTAAAATATTAAATTCTAAACATACATATAGCAATGTTGCAATTAAACTATCGTTCTGGAGAGTTATATGTAGTGATGCATAGAGCCTAAAATAATAATTTTCTCATACAAAGTTACAAACATTAAAATCCAGCATTTGGCCTCCTAAACAATTAGAAAAAGTGAAAACATTAAAATTTTTAATTACTTAAATCTACTGACAAAGAAGGAAAAAAAAACTTAAAACTGACATCTAACTATCACACGATTGTCATATGATACAGATAGAGAATATGAGAAACACTACTTTAGAAGGAAGTAGTTTTTTATGTTACTTTTATTATTTAAGGTGAACATAACTTTAGATCTCTGTACTTTACTCACATTTTGCTTTTGGTCCCTATAAACTTTTTTCAATATTTTAGATTCCTACACTTTTGTTTTTCATTGTTTTGAGTGCTTCCAAGGTCCCTATACTTTGCCCCTGGAGGGACCGAAAATAATGGAAAACAAAAGTGTAGGGATTTAAAACACTGAAAAAAAATATAGGCACCAAAAGCAAAATGCGAATAAAGTACAGGGACTAAAAATTATGTTTACACTATTATTTAACTATTTTAGTCATAAGTTTCCTTCTTATAAAAGAAACCTAGGCTAGTAGCTTATTATTATTGTACTTTTGCTTTAGCTTGCAAGAAACCTACGTTAGTAGCTTATTATTTCTTTTGCAAGTGGGTTGGTTAGGTTTCTTTCTTGAGAAGGAAACATTGCTCTATAAATAGAGCATTAGCATCATGTGCAAGGCAACTTGATGAATGAATGAAATATTTGAATCAATGTTCTGATAGCTTCCCCCTATCTCTTCGTTCTGTCTCCCTCTCCTTTCCTACTCTCTCTGTTTTCTGTCTCTCTCTTCTCTCACCCCTGTTCTACATTTCCCCCGTCTCTCCCTCGTGTTTCTGTTTCTCCCTACTCTCTCTCCCTCAAGTTTGAATCTGTTCAACTCTGTGTAAGTGTGCGTTGCATCAGATACCTTGTGTTCCCATCATCTTTCCAAATGATCCTTCTTGCTTATGGGATCAAGTGACAATCTGGCTTCTAATTTTTAGTTTTACCTATACGTAACATTTTCACATTTCTAAATGCGTAAGTATTAAGTTTGTTTCAGTAACAATGTGGTAATTAAACAATAATGAGTTGAGGGGTTGTATGTAGTTTTCCTTATAAGTTTTTCTACTGAGGAATTTAGGACAAGCAGAAGACATTCCGGCTCCAATTGGCTATGCGAATTCATGGATTAATTGGCCGTCCGTTTTCAAACAATAAAAGACCCTAATAAGGTATAAGCTGGTTACAAGAAAGCTAATAATCCGATCGTTGGCAGATATGAATGACACAGAATAATGATCTGTGCAACTCTTAAAGGAACAAAAGGATTTTTGTCCAATCAAAAGAATACAGGAGTCAGCTGCTAAATTGAGTCAATCTTTTAGTGCCCATTAAATTGAGAAAAACTGTAGACGATTATCCAAACCAGGATATTGAAAATTCATGTTGAAGACATGTTTCCGCTATTTGATTATTTATAATTTGGTAAGCCTAAACAAAATTAATACAGATAAAGCATATATTTCAAGGCAGGAGAATACATGCAGGTAAACTAAATTCACAAAATAAATTATGCCAGTCGCCAAATAGATATTAGTTTATGAACAATACGGAACCATAGGGGGGGAACTCGCTTTAGGCAGTTCTTCACATATGAGGCATGCTAATACATAATCGCTATTCATAAATGCAGAAGCAGCAGAACTAAGGAGACAAAATATAACAAATTTTTATAATGAATAGAAAGACAAGGATTACCAAATTTGTAATCCACCACCAAAACAAAATAGACGTGTGTTATGAAATTATGAATTTAGATAAGATTTAGTTATATTTGTTAGCTATTTGGATTTTAAATAGATTTAGATTTAGATAGGATTTATTTATGTTATTGAGATTTTAAATAGATTTGGATATCTAAATAGATTAGGATATTTATTATTTATTCAGATTCATGCCTATAAATAAGTGTGGTATACAGATTTGATTTGCAAGGCAATAAGATTCAGATTATTTCAGATTCATTCTTTGTTGGCTACCCCTTGTTTCTCGATCTCTCTCTTTTTTCTCTTTCACAATCAATTTCCATATCAATATATCTTTGAAATTCAAATGGAGTCAGCAAATTCACTAAATGCTTTGTTTGGTGGATTTGAATTCAAAGGTAGCATCTAGATTGGTAGATTTGAATTTAAATTTTAAATTTAAAATCTCACATTTCAAATTCATTTATTTAAAATGCTTTCTTTGAGTAGTTTAAAAAATTTTAAATTCTAATATTTAAATCCATGAATTTAACATTTCAAATTATGAAGGAATTTTAACATTATGAAGAGGAGAGCATTTCAAAATAGCCAGGGTTTGGAGAGTACTTCAAATTATAAAGGATAAAACATGGATTTGGATCTAGATCAATTCATTAATTTTTAGGTGTCCAAATAGGGGATTTAGCCCAAATCTAAATGCACATACATCCAAGCATAGCCTAAAGTTGAAATACAAAAGTGACAAGGAATAGAACACAATTACTTTCCCAAATTCAACAAAAAACAGGTTAGCATGATTCTTCCTCATTTAAAAAATATAAGGCATTTTTAGTCTTTTAAGATGTAATCATTATATATTTTTTTAAAAGTACTCCTATTCAATAAATCACTTTATATTTTTTTAGAGTTAAACACTCTATTAAATAGGGGTAAATACGAAAAGATAGGGTTATTTTGAAGACAAATAACTACTTTATTGGTGGATAAAATTCGGTTAAAAAAACTTTACATTTTTTAATGGAGGCAGTAACTTTTAAATTAGAAATTTTACATTTTTTTGATGAGCTTTGCAATGGGAATTTTGCAAACCTGTCTCAAAACTTTAACGATGCCCTTATTTACAATAGAACTATTTGTCACAGAAGCTGTCACAAAATCAATTTGCAATAGATTCTTCTTGATTACTGCCACAAATTTCTTGTTTTTTTTTTTCTGGGAGTCGTATTTAATGATGTGAGTGGATGTGAGGGAATATGAAAAGGAGAAATTCAACATTGGATAGCAAAAGACAAGAATTATAGCACAAAAGCATGGGTGAGACCTTAACTCAAGAGCTTACACTTTTCAGTTAAATTGGTGCGAAGCCAAGACTTTTGACCCTCGCCCCAATATCAGGGACACCCCCCTCCCCCAAGATCAACAACTTTCTTTTCATTTTTGCTAGAAAATATTTTCAGAAACCATTAATTTCAAAACAAAGAATTGTATGACATACTAATAATTACCTATAGCGAAATATCACGAATAAAATTCATATCATACCTCAAAGCCTGTAATGTCACAAATTCTCTTACAGGGATGCATAGAAGGGGGCGACTCAATACTGACATCTGCAAGGCAGCCATAAATACAAATCAAACGATTGAAATTTTCCATAAAGGTGGTGCTATTGAGATTTCTAACTAATTAGATTAGTTCAATCAGTGAACCAGCTAACACACCCTGCTAGACAAACTCAACTGGTCTGCCTGGGAACAGACAAAACCAATATTATATAAACCAGACAAGCTTCATGACCTTGAACCAGTCCAAGCACATAATCTAATGCCCTGCTTTGCGATTTGACTGATGAATATTTAATCAGCCAAAATGGGAATGAGATTTGAACTCCCCAATATTTTGGCAAAAGAATAAGAGCCTTGTCAATGCTTTATGTTAAGTTCTCTGTAAAGCCAGTGCATGCCATGCCCATAATATTATTATCTAGCTAAAGTGAAATAAACAACCTAAAATATAATAAATAATTACCATATTATGCATTTAAAATTTATAATACTAAATAATTATTTAAAATTGTTAACTGTCCCATAGATTTTGCCTTTGGTAGAATCATTAAACCTTGAACTGTTTACCTTTCTGATTCAATCAGAGGGCAAACTTTATAACATTGGTCGCAGCCTCTAGAGTAGAACAACATGATAAAGATCAATATATGTACGTCATGTACACCTAGTTGCAGAACCCAATATTGAAATTATTTCAAATTTTGGGCCACATAACTCAATACAAAGAAGAGTTTCAAACCTTTGGCTTAGAGCACAAAATTGCTTTCCCAACATTGCACAAATCCAAATATCGCAAATTTCAAATTTTGCAAAATTCAATTAAAAAATTTTTTGGGGGTCCAGATATGAGGAAGGGGGGCTCCAGTTTATGGTGTATCAAATGCACACACAGGCTAGCAAGTAGAATACTTTCAAGATAGTGAAAGGCATCATTTTGATAACTCACAAGTGGGCTCATCAGGTGGGTAATTCGAGTAGTTCTCAGATTGAATAATCTGCTTAAGATGTTTCCAGTGCCTGCCTCTGGATTGGCCCTTGGGGTATTTCTCATACGTTTGAACCTGCTTAAAACTAAGGTAGGTTGGCAACACCATCTCTGCTTCTACTACCTCCAGCTCCATCAATTTATGCTCCTACAACATTAGTGCAATATCAAGGTTAAAATATCTTAGGGATTAATATCATATTTAAGGAACAGATAATAGTGTCTAAAATTACGAACAAAAAAATTCATGTCAAAAATCAGAATCTGGAACCGAACCATTAAGATCCAGTTTGGATTTTTCCCAATAAAAATGAATCATTTTATTACTGAATTAAAAATCTTGCTTAAGCAATCAGCACTTTTACTTTCCTTCCCTGTTTAACATAAAAACGAATTTGTTGTAATTATCTTCAGATTTTATAACATAAAATTCATACAATTTTGAGTAGACGGAATGCAGAAATCCTGTTCTCTGCGTTCCATGTTCAAACTTTCAAATATTTTAATAACTCATCTCATAGGCTTTTGGAATGGAAGGCAACCCTTCATGAATATGTGCAATTTGCAGTAGTTGAGGTTTATGGTTGGAAAGAACTAACTTGATTGCTAAAATAAACTAATACTGATGCCACTTATATGGAAGAAGTTGCTTTGAATCTTCTGCATGGTTTTCAATGAATGTTTTGTTTAAAAAGGGATTTTCCTGTTTGGCATGCAGATGAACTGCTATTTGCCAAGTTAATGTGTTTCTTTCCATTTCCTTTTCCATTCCTTTCGGTGTTTTCTCCCTCTATATTATTCAATTGGTATTGTCCTCATACATGTACTTCTTTTCCTTTATTATAATACTTGTAATAGTAATTATAATGAATAATCATAAATCATAGGAGAGATTAAGAAAACAATTGTACCGAATATTCAAGTTTGATAAACTCTTTTCAGACTCTTCTCAAGTACAAGCAACAAAATTTAATCAATAATGTGTGTACACACACACATACACATATTTGATCACTCTAAAAATTCCAAGTTCTCCTATCACCCCTTTTATTGAGCAACTAAAATGCATTCTCAATATCAAGTCTTAAAACAACATTATCATTTACATCATAAAGTTTTCTCATATTACTTTAGCCAAAGCTAAATTATTTAATGGAGATAAGATCCTCTCTTAGACCTTTCAACAAACACCTAGTGGGCATCAATTCCTAATTCATTTAATGGAGCTTCTTAAACCCCAACACTTGGCCAATAATTTAATTCTTTTCAGCATTAATAATCAAATCAAATTCAAATCCACACCATCATCCTCTTGTTCTTTATACCAAGTTTCAACTAAAATCAAGTTCCCTTCAAACTCAACATACACGGCAGCACAGGGAAAAATTTCACAGCCATTATCATCTCAGCACATACACGCACGGGAAAACAATGAAAAGAGAACTTAAAGTTCCTCACCTCAAATCACAACAGTAGAAAGGAAGGAGAGGAAGCTTGCGGCACTTAACAGGGGAGGAAACTCAGAATCGAACCTCCAAAAATAAGAGCCGAGCTCTTCTGTGCTGCACCACCCACGAACGGACGAAATGAGGGAGGAGGAAGGAGGATCGACAGCCCTGACAATGAAGAACGGAAACTCATGCGAACTGACCGCAAACGCTGGCAACCAACTCAGAACGGAAAAGGCGAGCAGGAGACGAAGGTTGATCGGGGATTCTCCCTCACTGGATTCTGGACCATTCGACAATGGGGGACAAGAAAAATATCGCGCTTGAAATCGATTCTGACTTCTCTGTGTCGCCCGCTTGGACATTTATTTATTTATTTTTTGGCTACAACCGTTTGAATATTTATTTAAAAAATTGATTATTAAAGAATTCATTAATAAAATATATTTTAAATATAATTAATTATGTTATATGATATATAATTAATTTATAAAATATAAAATTGATTAAAAATATTAATTTTAATTAAAATTTAAAAGTAAAATTAAAAAGATAACAGAAAATCACATAAAATTATAATTTTGTGAAAATATGTATACATGCTTCTATTAAATATTAAAATTTATTATGAATTTAAAACCATATTTTTCTAAAAATATTCAAACGCTTACTCTATCTATTCAAAAATGTAAAATATTTTTTGAGGAGTTAGATATTTAAAAATAATATTTTTAACTCTTTCAGGATGTAATTATTGCTTTTTTTTCAAAAGTGTTCCTATTAATGAATGACTTTATATTTATTTTAGAATGTTTAATAGGAGTAAATATGAAAAGATAGGGTTAGTTTAAAAGTAGGTAACTATTTTATTGAAAAGTAAAATTCAGTTAAAAATACCTTTCTTTTTTTAACAAAGGAAGTATTATACACATCAAAATTAATTATAAATCCAAAACCATAGTTTTTTCAAGAATATATAAGCACCCTTAGGGCCAGTTTGAATATCTGTCAGAAAAAATTAATTATAAAAAATTGATTAATATGTTTGATTTTAAATAAATTTGATTATATTATATGTTATATAATTAATACTCATTCCGTTGAAAAATATAAATATTTTTAATCGAATCTTACCTTCAATAAAGCAGTTACTTATTTTTAAATTAACACTATCTTTGTATATTTATCTTTATTAAACACTCTACAATAAATATAAAGCCATTATCAATAGGGATACTTTAAAAAAAACGGCAAGATTACACCTCAAAAGGTATTTTTGAACATCTAACTCTTCAAAAAATACTTTACATTTTTAATGGAAAGAGTATATAAGATTAATTTTAATCATAATTGAAAACAAAAATTAAAAAGTAGTATTAAAAATGAGATAAAACCATAATTTTATAAAAATGTATTCAAACACCCTCATTACATGTGAAAATAAATTATGAATTCAAAATAATATTTTTCTAAAAATATCTTAAAACCCATTGTACATGCTAAAATTAATTATGAACCTAAAACCATATTTTTCCTAAAAATATCTAAACATCTATTATACATGATAAAATTAATTATAAATCCCAAATCATGATTTTTTTAAAAAAAAATTCAAACATCCTTGTACATGCCAAAGTCAATTATCAACTCAAAATTATAGTTATCCCATAAACTACTATTACCTATTTTTTAATTTAATTTTTCAATTATATATTTTATAAAACTATAATTTTGACCTCTAAAATTGATTTCAAATGTTACCTAAATAGGCACTGTGTTGTTTTTCTTCATTTTAACAAGGGGTAAAATGGCAATTTTACTTAGGTTAAAGCAAAAATAAAATTCCTCTTTCATACTATGAAGGTTTGAACTCAAAACTCATCAGATAAACAGCCAATTCAAACTCCACTAGATTATCAATTTTTCATAATAGGTTAAATTTTTAATTTTTACCAAATTTTTGGGTTATTCGAAGTTATGTCTATTCTTGCGTTTGGGCAAGTTCCTTTCTTTTCTTTCTTTGTTTTTTGATTCATTGTCACAAAAAGGTGCAAAATAATTTCATAACAAGTTTTGTAGTATTTTCAAATTTTACTACAAATTAATCCACTCTATCATGATACTTAAGATTAATGTCAATCACTAATCATTACCATGGTAGAAAAGCTTAGCCATATTAAAGAAAACTATAAACATTATAGAAAAAAAGGACTTAGATTTAAAAGGTTTATTATGGTTAAAGGAGTTTAACTTATACTTTTGGAAAACCAAGAAAATAACCACATCATCATAAAAATGAGAACTAGTTTACAATCTACTATGATAGAAAGGTTTGAGCTAGGTTTATAAGATTAAAATCTCAAAATAATATGATACCATGATAAAAAGTCTACCATGTTAATAAATGAATTAAGTAAATCGATGAGATTTTATCATAATAGAACAGATTGAACTAATACAAGGAAATACCATCATGCCTATAGGTGGGGTGAGGCAAGGTGATCCCATCTCACCATATCTTTTTGTCATATATATTGAAAAACTTGCACATCTTATTTAACCAAAAATAGAAGACAGTGAGTGGAAGCCCATTAAACTTGGTAAGTTTAGGCCATCTATGTCACATTTGTTTTTTGCTGATGATATTTTGTTATTCACAGAAGCCTTCTTATAACAAGAAAATATCATTAAATAATGTCTAGCAAATTTTTGTGAGAGCTCTGGCATGAAGGTGAACTTAAGGAAAACTAGGATATGTTTCTCTACTAATGTGCATAATACATGTCATGAGGAGATTAGCAATTTTCTGGGCTTTACTAGAACTGATGATCTTGGAAAATGCCTTGAAGTTCCCTTCCATAGCAAGAGAGTTGGCAAGGACTCTTTTAATGAAGTGGTGGACAAAGTGCGAAAATGACTCTCAAATTGGAAGGCATCTACCCTGTTGATGGCTGGAAGAGTTACTTTAGTGTCCTCCATTACCACTGCGATACTCGGCTACACATTGCAAACCTCACTCCTACCGGTTAGCACGTGTGAAAAGTTGGATAAATTAAATCGCATTTCTGTATAGGGCAGCTCAAAAGAAAATAGGAAAACACACTTGGTCTCATAGGACCAAGCATGTGAAAGTAAAAAGCATGGTGGTCTAGGGATGAGACATACACATATGCAAAATCAAGCCTACATGATGAAACTTGGGTGGAACCTTGTCAAGAAAAAAGATGAGCTGTGGGCACAAGTAGTTAAAGCTAAGTACAATTGTTGGGAGGATCTGATATCAAAAATACAAAAAAAGTACTCGGGATCTAATGTTTGGTAGGGGATCAAAGGGGTTTAGGACAAAGTGAAGGAAGGTGTAGAGTAGATGGTCATAGGATTGCAGATAGAAGTGGGAAGCAAATGGCCAGTTTTCAATTCGGTTAGCATACAATGTTCTGCTCACACTAAAGTAGAACTCTGACTTTCCTTGGAATAGTGTTTGGCAACTTTGGGCACCACAAAGATGCAGATCTTTTGCTTAGCTTACTTGCCATAGTAAGTTATTGACTAATGTCGAAAGATATAGGAGGCATATGACTATAGATGCGAATTTCTCTTAGTGTGAATCACATGCTATGGATCTTCTACATGTTCTATGAGACTGCCCCTGCCACTATAGAATTCTAGAGTTCTATAGTAAACCCAGACAAGAGATATGTTTTCTTCTCTATAGATCTAACAGATGATTGAATTGGAATCTCAGGTTTAGTGGAAAGGAAGACTGTGATGATTGGAAAGGTTTTTTCTTTATCACTTGCTAGTTATTATGGAAACGAAAAAATCTTCGTGTGTTTGAAAGTAAACAAATGACCAATGACAGCATCTTAGCGCAAGTTGTGGCTATTCAAATGAGTATGAATGGGACTCTTTCTAACATGGCTAAACTCAATTGGTATGGGCAGAAACCCTATTAAAGCTCAAGCAAATGGGAAGCAACACCAGAAGGATGGACTTTAGTCAATGTTGATAGTTCCTACCTTTCTAGGAATAACAAAGGGGGATGTAGAAGAATGGCTCGAGATCACTGGGGCACTTTTATTATTGGCTTCATGGTTGGAGCTATTGGTTCGAGTAGCTTGAGTGTGGAACTATAGTCATGGGACTTACGGTTGCTTGGGACATAGGAGCCCATCAAGTTATTGTTACTTCAGATGCATTGGAAGTTGTTGAACTCATAAATGGGGGCAAAATCAAGTTACATCAAGATAAGGGAATCGTTGAAGAAATTCGTTCTCTCATGCAACGAGAGTGGGCAACATCTATTACACATACGGCAAGGATAGCAAACAAGGTTGCTAACTTTTTGGCATGTAAAGTGGTGCATGCATGCATGGCCAGGCATTCATCAGTTTTTTTATCCTCACAAGGTTACTCCTTTCGTTGAACAGGACTTTATGGGCTTGAGCAGCAACTAAGCTACTTCACTAATGTATAAAAAAAAAGGTTTTCAAATAAACAATTCAAGGAAAACCGTTCTTTAAAAATCAAATCCTAAATTTATAACTCTAGTTGAGCTTTAGATAAGCCAAAAACCTTCAAATCAAAGTCTAAAATGTGTTTTGAAAGCATAGAAAACAAATTAGATTTAAAGAAACTTAAACCAAGTTCAAGAGACTCAAAATAACCCAATGAGACACATCAAATTGTAGCCAATCATACATTCACTGCAATTAACGACATAAAAAATCACTTTTGAGCTTTTTGACAATACATTGCAATGAATAACACAAAATTCATGCCAACAACTTGCATTCATGGCAAACTTTTTAGCCAGACTTATGGTGCGCACAACTTTTTCCTCTCAATATTTGATTGAGATGATTCAAGCGTTTCTATAAAACTTATTTCAAATTCTAGTTATTAGCTTTGATTTCACTCCAAAATAAACACTATATGAGAAATTTGGACATCCAGGATCATTTTAACTACTTTTTAACATTTGTCCACAAACTTAAGTGTTCAAATTCTCGATCCCACAATAATTGCTATTAATCTGCATCAAACCAATGGACCTAAGGAAACCTAATCCACACATCATGCACAATTAAATATAATGACCCTAATTTTTTTAATTAAATAATTTATCTCATAATCAATATTTTAATTATTTAATTTAGTTTTATTAGAAATGGAGAAAAGTGATTTAGTAGAACTTGTGTTGGTTGTTTACTTGAAAGTTCAAGGTAGAGCCAAGAATTTGGGTGGGCCGAGCTTATTCAGGCTCGGCCCGAATAGGCCCGTGTCCTTGAAAATTATTTTTAATTATTTTTTTACTTTGAAATTAATTATTTTATTTTATAAAAATATAAAATATATTTTTTTAATAGTTAAATGATGTCTAAGACTCAAATATATGGTTTTAGTATAAAATGATCTAAAATTTAAAGAATTAATTAATATTTATTATATTTTATATATTTTTTAAAAATATAATTTTTTTATTCGGGCCAACATGGTCCGAATAGACCTGAACATAAAAAAACATCCTTTTTTTTAAGTCCGGCTCTAAAATTTTTTGGGCCAATTCGGGCTAGCCTGTCGGGCTTAACCCGAATTACCGGCTCTAGTTCAGGGTACAAATTTTTTTTAAGCAGTTAATTTTATTTTGTTTTAATTATATAAAATTACCAAAATGCCCTTTTCTTTTTTGTTATTACAGAAAAAAATTTGGGAACTTTATTTGTAATTTTCCAACTATTCATTAGGGTGAGATATTTCTCCGTCTCTGCCAAGAGAACCACCAGCCAAAACCTTCGACTCCATCCTCCTTCCTTAACTGTTTCGACGGCCGCCAGTGAGAGTTGTCCGAGTACCGGTGCTGCTATGGTGTCTTCTTCTTGGCCGTGATTTCTCGTTCTTCCCCCATCCTGTGATCGCGTGAATCTGCTGTTGCAGAGGTTTGGGTTCCAGCTAGTGGTTCCTTGTGTTGGCGTCGGACGTTCACTAATTCCGCTTCTCATCGTCGGAGGTCCTTCCTTCTCCACGTCCGATCTGCCACTTCCTCTTCATGCTTCTGCCTTCGTGATGTGAGGTGAGGGTTCTCGATTCCCTCCTCCTTGTTGGTTCTGTTCGTTGGTGGGTGTGGGTCTTATATGTTGATGTTATAATTCTCCTTCTTGTGCCATGGTTGTCCGTGTTTGTGTGGGGAGTAGGAGTTGAGTCATGTTGAAAATTTCTGTATTAAAAGCTTAGTGATGATAATATGGTTTTGAAATTTTTTCCTTGGGTTGAAATTAATTCTTGATGAGGAATTTGATTGAGTTCAATTGTGGATGTTTGAGAATTTATTGGGCAAGAGATTATAAGTTAAAAAGCCTTATTGAGTAGGCTGTGAAATTATGCATACTAGGTGTTTGATATAATGTCTAAGAGGAAGTTATATCCTTGTGGAATAGTTAATTATGGTTAAAGCATTATGGAGAAACTTTGTGACAGATATTCTTCCACAAGTTAGTATCCCACTTTTTAAATTGGAAGTAGCAACATTCACCAGTCAAATGCTGAAAAATAAAATAAAATAATAAAATAAACAATATCTTATTTATTTTAGTATCTAGGCTTGATATCCAACTTTCTCCATCAATAATGGTGGCTTTCAAATTGTTTTTGTTGCTTTCGTGATAACATGGTTTCTAATATGTTATTTTACTGTATTGTTGGGTTCATATTTGAGGAGGATGATAGTGGATTTAAATTTCCTTTAGGCTTACTTGATTCTTGGTGAGGGTGTTGTAGTTGAATCGCATGATGGATCTAATCATGGTGAAGAGTTAAAAAAATGAGGAAATTTAGTTTTGTATGTTTGAGAAGAGTTGGAAGTTTAAACGTGATTATTGTATTGGTTGGGAATGGAATTAGAGAATTTGGGGGGAAAAAGTATTTGGTTAGTAATTTCTAGATCAAATTGTTTGTTTTTATGATAACTTTCGCGACACATATATAATGACTGATGAAAGATTTGAGAATCTTGCCTTGTTTTCTCTAACAAACTAAATTGTAAGACTTTGAGAATTTGCATGCTTGCAGTTGGGGTTGTACTTGATCATTTCTCTGCTTTAATTTGTGCTTCTGATGCTTGATGTTGTTACTTTACTTCAATCTCAAAGTTTACAATTCATATTCACTTATTTTGGGTATCTTTCTTTTGAATGATGCATTGCCTATGATTTGGTTTAAAATCTTAAGTAAATGATTGTGTAACAGGGTATTCTAGTTGGATATTATGGTGCAATGTAAGACATATTTACTTAAGTAAATGATTGTGTAAGACATATTGCATCTTTAGAAGCTGGAAGAGTTTATGTAGGCTGTATAATTTCTTGGCTTGCCTGGGCATGCGGTTAGAGTGGGTTGATACTCATTCAAAAGGTAATGGATACAGGAATTTTGGCTGCCACTGCACAACAGCTGTGGCCTTTAATCTTAAGCACATCTTTTGGCTTAAACTTTTACATGTTCCAAGAACGTAACATTATCATGCTTTAATTAGCTAAGCTGATATTATGAAAAGATCTGATTGGTTTTGCATATTCATAAAAGAATCGTGTTTTAATACACTTTACAAGGATCTAATTTCTATTGGTTTTCATGTAGCCTGAAGCTGGCGAGAGTTGCAGTGATCTGATTACAACACGAGTTTCTGAGAGATACATAACAAGCAGATGGTAAGCTTTTTGCATATCCAAAATGACCTTTTTCAGTTCCTACTTACATTTTCTATTTAAATTGCTGTGGCTTGCGTCTGAATGACCATTTTACTTGTTTTTCTTTTTCATCTAGTTAAAATTAGCTTGTGGAAGCTATTACTTCTAGTCTTATTGCAGTAGTGGTGAAGGGAAGCAACTCTTTGAGATTCCCATTCTTTAAACTAATATATCTATATGTCTATTCTGGTTTTAGGAAAAAGATTGATATCTGCATCTTTTATTTCTTTCCTATAAAAATTTGGATCCGCAGTAAGTATTCATGAGCTAGGAATGCGTTAACAAATTAGTTTCTATTGCACAATGCTGAAACGCATTATATGTTACCCTCAACATCAATCTCCCCTTGACATCCTTAAATCCTTATCTCCTGTCTTTCCTAGTATGATTTCTTCTTTTGTAAAATAAAAAATATTTAAATATTCATTTTACTTATCTTCATATCTGCAAAATTTGCAAACACAGGAATGTGATAGAAAGCTGAAGACGTTTGCAGAAAAGCTTAGAATTTAAACCATTTTAAAATGAGATATCTAGGTTACATTTCTAAATATTACCAAGTCATGTCTGTATATTTACAAATAATTGTTCTTATATTAACAACAAGGCGCCCATAATTAACAAAAGTCCATGGAAATGCCTGGAAAATAAAGTTATAACATATATGCTTTTTATTTAGCATAATATTGATAACTTGTCAATATTGAAGTAACAAGTTGTTAAAAAATAAACAAGTTGGATTTTAAGCATTGATAATTTTTTTATGTATTAACAAGGCATGTTCAAATATTTACAAGTGATTGTTTAGATATTAACATCAACGCATCCACAATTAACAGCAACTTGCATAAATCCTTGAAAACAAAAGTTATAATATATATTATATTTTGTAATATATGATTTAATGGCTTTGGTGGTTTAGTGGTGGCATACCTTTTAAACAACCGAGTGGTCAAGGCTTCAAATCCCCCTTGGTCCCTTGGCACATTTGACCAGATTTGACCACCAGTGGCTGGGGCGGTGGAGGTCCGGTGTAATTTTGACCCTAATTTCTTTCTTTCTTTTTTTAAAGGTATCGTTTGGTTGTCATGAGTTCTCTGTAAAATGTGGGAAATTAGAAGTTGGACTAACCAAAGATTGAAGAGAAACAAAACTGTCCCACATAGTTGTTCCTTTCCCAGTGAATCTCTGGAATTTGAAAACTGGTCTCCTTCTGTTTGGTGGGAATGGCCAGTTGGCCACTTCTGCTGGTCTTTGATGATCCGCTCTGGCATGAGTGCGGTGAGCTCCTCAATAATAATAATCTTGATTTTTTTTTTCATTTGCTGCCTTTCTGGTTCTCTGTGTTCATCTTTCGATTCTTGGCATTCTTCTTACTTTTCCTGCTTGTGTTTCTTCAATAGTTGAATTGAGGAAGCCTATCTCCTACTGTCTTTATTTTGTATTGTTGCAGTACTTTTTTCCCCCCTTAATGTTGAATGCTTCTTTTCTGAACATGTAATTTCTTTTGCATTTTGTTTTGTTTTGTTTTGTTTGGGTCTATATTCTCCCCCTGTTTTTCCTAAAGCAATGGATTCTACCCTTGTAATCCGATAGTTTGAAAAACAGATGCAACGCAAGAAACATTATAGGATTATTAGTACACAGGACGTTGTCCATAGCTTCTTGCAGGATTTAGAAAGAGCATATAGGGGACTTCTCAATTAGAGGTGCTAGGGAATTGGTTTTGGCTTAGGATTTTGGGTAATTGCTTTAGAGGGGCTTCTGAAGGTTCAAATTCCCTGAAAAATTTTGATAATTTTTTATACAGTCAATTAATGCATGCTCTTGCTCACATGTATGTATACATACATGGTTGAATTTTTCTCATTTTCTATACCTTTATCTCAGTGTGTTTCTTAATCAAATTGTTAGTGCTTTTGGCTTTGGAGGAACCCTTATAATCTTATGATTTTGTACAGACCTCAAATAATTGTTCTGATTTCATCTCTTTCCTATTTTCCTGCCTATTTGCATCTTTTTATGCCTTATCTGAAGTTACATAGCACTTAATAATTATTTTAAACATGTCAAATAGTCAAATTTTGGCTTCTAAATTCTTTGATTTTGCTGAGTTCCCAAGTGGTTTGATTTAGTGAAGTCAAAGTTATTGATGAAACCAAACCTTTTTAGTTGCTTTGTCAATGCTTTATCATTCTGATGACCTGACTATGCTCATTGTTGAATACAGGCAGCATTTTGTTTAGGTCATGTGCCAAGTGGTTTGGTTTAGACCATGTTTTCTTTAGCCCTAGTAGGTTCAAGAATAGTCCATAAGTTTTCATATCGTTTGGCTATATCTTGCAAGCTATGTGACCAGCCATTTCATGGTGACCATGTTGAAAATGGATTTGAATTTTATGAGGAGCCTTTGAGAAGAATGTGGGATCAATCAGATTATGATGTCATTAGAAATAAAGGTCATAGTTCACTTGAGGATGAGAACTATAACCAGAAACATTTTTCACTTAGACAGGGATTCTTAGAAAGCGTGAAGATAGATGCTGAGCGGGTTTTTGAAGTTCTTCGACAGGATGGACCGGGAGTTGATTCCAGATTGGTTTTAAATGAGTTGGATGTAAGGCCATCTGGTCTTCTTGTGAGACAAGTTCTCTCTGATATTTTGAAGAACATAAGTTGTGAAAATAAGACTAGGTGTGCAAAATTGGCTTATAAATTTTTTGTTTGGTGCAGTCAGCAGCAGAGTTACCAGCATACTACTGACTCCTATCACTTAATAATGAAGATATTTGCAGAGAGTGAAGAGTTTAAAGCAATGTGGAGGCTAGTAGATGAGATGAATGAGAAAGGAATCCCTGCTACTGCACGAACTTTTCGCATTTTGATTTGTACTTGTGGTGAGCTAGGTTTTGCTAAGAAAGTGGTGGAGAGGTTCCTAAAATCAAACATGTTTCACTATAGGCCCTTTAAGCACTCCTACAATGCAATCCTCCATTGTCTTCTCAATCTAAAGCAATACAAGTTAATTGAGTGGGTTCATCAGCAGATGTTGCTTGAGGGTCTTCCCTCAGATATTTTAACTTATAATATTGTCATGTATGCCAAGTACAGACTTGGGAAGCTGGATCAGTTGCATAGATTGCTTGATGAAATGGGCAGAAATGGTTTTTTCTCCAGATTTTTATACTTATAACATTCTTCTTCACGTTCTTGGTAAAGGAGACAAACCACTTGCAGCTCTTAATCTCTTAAATCACATGACAGAAATGGGTATAGAGCCAACTGTTCTTCATTTCACCACATTGATAGATGGACTCAGCAGAGCTGGGAATGTTGATGCTTGCAAATATTTTTTTCGATGAAATGATAAAGAATGGATGTATGCCTGATGTGGTGGCTTACACAGTGATGATCACAGGATATGTGGTGGCTGGTGAGATTGAGAAAGCTCAAGAGATGTTTCATGAGATGATTTCTAAAGAACAAATCCCAAATGTCTTCACATACAATTCCATGATTCATGGATTGTGTGTGGCAGGGAAGTTTGATGAAGCATGTTCAATGCTCATGGAAATGGAGGCTAAAGGTTGTAATCCAAATTTTGTTGTGTACAGCTCCTTATTGAGTAGTTTGAGGAAAGCTAAAAAACATGCTGAAGCTCATGATGTAATGGAACGGATGATGGAAAAGGGAAAGTATGCCCATCTACTTTCAAGGTTCAATGGGCACAAGAGATAGCCAGAAATAAATGCTCTGATTGGACATGACTTAAGGGAATCAACTTACAAGTCTTTTTAATTGAGATGATTCACCTGCTTCTTTTTCAGCTGGTGTAGAAGTTGGGGGAACTAAGCATGTGATTTCCCTCTGCATTTGCGAAGATGCTTATTTATAAAAGTGAAGGTGCATAAAATGCCTTTTACCTACATTGTGTAATGTGTAATAGTGATTCTTTTTGTTGGTCCTCTTCATTTTTCCACTACTAATGACCTTCATATGTGTTCGTGGTGTATATTTAAGTAATATGAAACTTGAATTCTCATTGGAGCTTTGTGTAGAAGGTGATTACTTTTCTTTTTCCTTGACTAGGGTTAACTGGATACAGCATTAATTGTCTTCCAGAAAAAATGGGGAGGTCAGCTAGTTAATTTGGTGTTCTGGATGCTCTTCAGCTTTGGAATGAATAAATGACTACCTATCCCGAACAAAGTTCTTGATTAGATATGGAGGAATATCATCTAGCTGCTTGTCTGAAGTATGCAAATTGTTGGTTGTACAATTAGTAACTTTACAGTTGTTCTCTTTATCACTTTATTAGTCTCTGTGATGTGATACATAACATGTGAGTTTTCCTTCATATAATTTAAAGAAGAAGGGAAAATCGCACAGAAGGACTGCTGAAGCATGTTATTTGCAGACAAGGACCAATTAATTATAATTAGCACTGCAGTGTTACTTAAGAAGCATCATGGAGTTTACTGCAGATCTCAAATACTTCAAAATGGTAATTGAACATATGTTTTGTTATTACCTATAAAAAATAATATATTATGTTACTTAAGAAAGTTGTTGGAACCTTCCAAGTGGCATTTGATATCTTAGTTTATGCTCGATTGTTTAAAATTCAACCTCTTAATAGTTGAAAATTATAAAGGTTCACTTACAGAATGCTACATTTACTAAATGCACGTTTTTCTAAATATTGGGTGTTTGTTTTGTGAAGGGAAAGTCCACAGCTTTCTGGTTTTCGCTGCATTCTTAATCTGCTGTTGTGTGAAAATACTAAAGTAGAAGAAGCGAAAGAACTTTCCTTGACAATATATTCGGCATTAACTTATCCCCTTATAAGATTGGTTTTGCTGCAAAGGCTCTGCATAAATGAATCAGACTATTAGAGAATGATATTGACCCAAGAAGAGAATTTGCTTCTATTGATTGAATAATAAATAAGAATTGACTTATCCACTTTTGTTATGTCTCACTTCTTTTTGTCTGTTTTTTAGGAGGAAGTTTCTTGAGCAGTAATGCCTGGCTGCTACTGGGGTCTTGCCATAAAATATGGTAATGAACTTTTTAGTACTGATGCATCCTTTGTCTGCTTTGGAACAATTAAATTTAAATTAAATCAAGTGTTCACTTTTTTAATCTAGGATTGTTCATTTACAAGATCCTCATGATTTGATTATCAATGTTTGGCTGAATTGCTTATGTTGTTTGATATTAA